AGGGGGACCTTGCCAGGCTTAAGAGGTGGGCCCATGCCAACCTCATGAAGTTCAACAAGGCCAAATGTAAGGTCCTGCACCTGGGTTGAGGCAATCCCAAGGACAAATATAGGCTGGGCAGAAAGCCGACTGGGAGCACTCCTGGGGAGAAGGACTTGGGTGTGTTACTTGACAAGAGGCTCAACATGAGCCAGCAGTGCGCACTTGCAACCCAAAAAGTGAACCGCGTCCTGGGCTGCATCAAAAGGAGTGTGACCAGCAGGTCGAGGAAGGCAATTCTCCCTCTCTACCCTGCTCTGGTGAAGCCCCACCTGGAGTACTGCATCCAGTTCTGGAGTACAGAAAGGACATGGAGCAGAGCGGGTCCAAAGGAGGGCCATGAAGACGATTAGAGAGCTGGAGGACCTCTGCTACGCGGACAGGCTGAGGAGGCTGGCATTATTCAGCTTGGAGAAGAGAAGGCTCCGGGGTGACCTAACAGCAGCCTTCTAATACATAGAAGGGGCCTACAGGAAAGCTGGAGAAGAGGTTTTTACAAGGGCCTGTAGTGACAGGACAAGGGGCAATGGCCTGAAACTGCAAGAGGGTAGATTTAGATTAGATATAAGGAAAAAATTCTTTACCATGAGAGTGGTGAAGCACTGGAACAGGTTGCCCAAGGAGGCTGCGGATACGCCATCCCTGGAAGTGTTCAAGGCCAGGTTGGATGGGGCTTTGAGGAACCTGGTCTAGTGGGAGAGAGGTGACCTAGGGGAACTAGGTGATCTTCAAGGTCCCTTCCAACCTTAACCATTCTATGACTCTATGATGAGTAATGGCCAGATGGACCGCACGCCCCATGCGCTGTCCCCCTTTGCACCAATGGCAGGGAGGAGGTACCCAGGAAGATGGAAGCGTGGGAACGTAAGATCGGTTTGTATTTACTGATGTATTCCTCTCACTATACAACTCCATGAACGGTGGTGGTAAATTAAACTTAAGTTTTCTCCACAAGTCTACTCTGTTTTTCTAACCATCATCTTAAATGGCAGATTACTATCCTCCCTGTCCTTAATCTCAGTGCTTGAGCCTTGTTGGCTGAGTTTTCTCCCCCCACATCCCTCTAGAGATGGGGCTGGGGGGAGGAGTGAGCTGGAGACCGCATGATTCTTTGTTGTCAGCCTGGGCGGTCATTTTGAACCAAGACAAAAGCTTAAAATAATGATACAGTCCCTGTGAAAACTTTTTTGGATAACATCTGCACTTAGGATCAAAAGAACATGCATAACCCCTCCATGATTTTTTTAAATGTGTGAAAGCTGCCTTTATCAGCAAGACAAGCATCAGTACATGAAGCGTTTGAGCTCCACCAAGCTTCAAGGAGACATGTGATCACTGTTTAATAAAACGGCAAAGAATTAGAAGTGACTCTTTTGAGATATGCAATCCACGTGCTTATTCACTTTGGGTGACAGTAAGCCATAAGCACTTCAAGTAGCGAGAAGTACTGCTAAATGAAAGCCCTCCACAGAAGCTAACGCAAGCCCCCTCTACACTCAGTTTTTCTCTATGTGTACTTCAAAGAGAGACATTAAACACTGCAGGGATGAAGGGAAAGCAAGTAGGAGATGGACATGAAATTCACACACCCAAAGATACCCTGTTATTGAAAAGCAAAGAGAAAAGTCACTTACACTAGCACATGGGTGTACATGCTCAAATGAGTCATCACAAGAGGTATAAATGCTCAGTCTAAACTCCACTTTGGCCAGGCAGCCTGGGTAAAGGGGGTTCTTTGACCACGACTCATAGTTTGAATTAGAAGGCTGACAACAACAGTGAGCTCTCAGAAGAGTTACAGAAATAACCAACAAGATGTTGGTTATTGACAGAATTACTGGGCAAAGAGAGATTCTTCAAGCCCGAGTAAATATATCAATATCCTGCACCTGAAATAACACCAGAATAGTACTGAGTCTACTTGAATAAAGTTTCTCTCTGGTATAGATTTTCTTTTGACAAAAAGAACATCTCCCTCAGTGGAGAAATCAAGTCCTTCATTTAACAAAAACCATTCTGCATGCAAGCTGGGGTAGCTAAACCCAGATGCAGGATCTGTACTGAATCCTGCCTCAAGAGACAAAACAAGCAGACAAAGCATCCTCTAAGAAACTGAACAAAATGTAAAACTACAGAACTTTCTGAGTTAGGCCAGCATTAACATTATCTTCACGTGGAGAGGCACTAGAGGAAGGGTATCCAGTCTTTCACCCAGTAGGCATCTGACAGGAAGCCCAAGCTCAATCCTACTCCAGAATGCAAATACGAAAGCAAGTCAAACATAGGCCCTCCAGCCTCCAGAAATTCACTGTTACTGTAATTATGAACTTTTGTGAGTACAAAGCACAGAAGTGAGGAACTGGAATTAACTTACTCATTAACACACCGTATGACAATGCTGTTGTCAGACATTACTTGCATGTAGTGTCCCTGAATTTGCATCAAGAAACCATGGAGGCCATCTTGACACATCTGAGCTTCATACAGGTTTCTCCCTCTGAGTACTACGTTAAAGAGGTAACCCTATTTCAAGAGGAAAATGTTTCACAAGGGGAAAATTTGCATCAAGAGGAGAATTTTTCATAATGAGAACAATCAGCCATTGAAATAATGTCTTCAGGGAAGTGGTGGATTCCCCAGTACTGGACAGTTTTAAGATTCAGCTGAACAGGGTGCTGGGCTGGCTTGTCTGGATCATGGTTTTGCCAAGAAAGGTTGGATCAGATGATCTTTGAGGTCCCTTCCAACCAGGTACTCTGTGATTCTGTCCCGGGACAGAGACATCCAACATCACTGAAGCAAGTGAAGGAAAAGCACGGATTAGTACATCTACAGAAACACAAAGAGAACTCCTTCATGATATTAAGTATCTGTGGAATACCTATAGAAGCAGAGTGCTCTTGGAAGAGGAGCTGCAAAGTCAAGCTACAAATCATGTCTGGCACGGAGGATGCTAAAGAGAGGTAGATCTGCATCCCAAAACAGAGATACCTGCATTCACAGGAAAGTTTGGTCCTTCCACTCAACACAAAAGAACCTAATACCTCTGCTTCCACATAAAAACAGCCCTGCCCAAGGGTGAGTGTGGCTCCAGTAAACCCATCAGACTATCATGGACAGCTGTAAAATGTGTAAAATTTCATAAGGTTAGAGTGAATTTGTATTATGTCTGTTCTTGTGAGGATGCACCAAATGGTCATGAAGATACAGGAAAAACAGAAGCTCTCCTTCCTAACAGGAACAATTCATACTCATAAATCATTGTAACAATTTCCATAATCCAGGCACCTGCTGCAATAGCAAAGCTGACACTCAGGTGAATAAGGACTACCTGAGGGAAGGATAA